CTTCTTTATCCTTTTTCTTCTTGCTGTTGTTAGCTTGGAGGAGGTTTTTTATTTTCTGAATGCAAACCTCTCATCAGATATTTGATTTATAAATATTTTCTCTCATTTCGTGAGGTGCCTCTTCACTCTATTGATACTCTGTGGTGCACAAATTTTATAACTTTATCAGCATATATGAATGGTACAAAATAATGGGTTTCATTGTGACATTTCATTAGTTTTTAAAATTTTTTTATTTTTATTATTGCTGTACAGTGGGTACATTGTGGCATTTACAAAAGTACTTACAATATGTCTTAGTTAAATTCAGCCCTCCATCATTCTCCTTTATCCCTACCAAAATTTCATAATTTGATGAAGTCTAGTTTATGTATTTTTTTTTTTGCTTAGCATTGTGAGAAGAAATAAAGGAAGGAGGAAAAGAAGGAAGACATGAAGGAAGGAAGACAGAACAGAAGGGAGGAAGGAGGGAGGGAAGGAAAAGAGGGAAGGAAAGAAGTGAAGAAAGACAAAAAGGAATGGAGGTATGGATGGAAGCAAGGAGGTAAGGAAAGACAAATGAATGAGCATCTTGTATTGGTTTGGAAGCAAATTTGTCTTTTATTTGGAAGACTCTGTTCAGAATTCATTCTCTCTTTTAGTACTGCGGTTTGAACTCATTGGTCAGAATCCTCTTGTCTTCTCTTCCCGTGTATTTTCTCAGGTTAAGTTTCTGTCTTCTCTGTATCTGCTTGTTCGGTCTCATTTCTTCCATCATCTGTGGATCCCTGCCTTTCCTTGGGGAGATACATATTAAACAAAAGATGGTGCTTTCTTCCTGAGGGAAAGGCTAGTGTGGTAGACAAAATAACACCTCCAAGATGTCCACACCCTGGTCCCAGCCCTGTGACAACCCCAGGCTGAGTCCTCATCTCAGCCCCGTGTGGGTGGCTGGCAGAGGAGACTCTGCAGGTGAGAGGCAGAGAGGGTCTGGGCTCATCTGTGGACCCATTTAATCCCCAGTGCTCCTTAGTGGAGACCAAGGGGGAGGCAGCAGGAGGGCCTGGCCTGCTCACACTTGGAGTTCAGCTCCGTGAGACCCCTTCAGATGCCACTTGCAGGACAGCAGGAAATCCTGTGTGCTGTTTCAAGCCATAGTTTGAGGTCCTCAGTGCCCAGTGGCTGGGGCTTGTCCCTCTCTGAGTGTAGCCCCTGCAGCCGCCAGCAGAGGGCAGAAGCCACCAACACGAGGAGGCAGACGACACTGGCTTCTTCCCTAGAAGTCACCATTAGGGTTAGGAGTTGGGTGAAGAGGGTGAGGGCGACCGGAGGGGACAGAGGATTTGGAGGAGCCCTGGCATTCAGCCTGCGGAGTCCCCGTTATCTACTGCAGTTTTCTGCATGTTATACTTTAACAAAAACGTGAAAGCCCACAGGGAAAGAGAAGGAAGGGAGAGAGAAGGAGGAGGGACTGGAGCAACAGAGTCAGGCTCCTGACAGCTGACTGAGCCTTTGTCTTTCTCTGTGGCTGTGTCCCACGGGCTCCCCACAAGGCAGAGCACCTCCTCCCATCTGAGGAGGCCAGGCCAGTGTGTCTGTGCTTGTCCCAAGGCCAGGGACCAAGAACAAGCTGTGTTTTTGTCACGTGAGCTTCTGTCAAAGGCTGTGTGAATCAGCAGCATAAGGACAGTTTGCTGTGAGCACATCCCCGGCCAGGGGCATCAGGAACCCCTTACTTATTCCCCCGACACATGGGACAGCTCCACCCTGAGGCCTACTTAGCCTAAAGGTAGAAAGGTCTGATTGTCATTCTATTTGCCATCCATCCACCCATCCATCCTTCTATCTGTCCATCCATCCATCCATCCATCCATCATCCATCCATTCACCCACTCTTCTATTCACCCATCCATCATTTATCCATCCACTCACCCTCCCACATCCCGCCTTCACTTATTCATTCAGCACTTTCCGGTGCCTTGTCCATGCCTGGCACTATGCCAGGTGCTCCTTCCTGGTCTGTTTTCTGGCAACTGTTAGCTTTTCTTTTCTTTGCTGTGCCTCTTACAAAACATGGGCTGGCAAATGAGTGTTGCCTGACCTGTGGAGACACTCCCTCATCCCCTGGGGAGGCGGTCATTTTGGAAGGCACAGAAATGGCTCCTGGGGACCTGTAGATGAAGGTGTGTGTGGGCAATGGTCACGTGGTTACCTGGGCTCTAGTGTGCCACGGTGAAGACAGCCCTGGGCCAGCCATTTTCTACAGAAGGCTTGGTCTCAGCTGCCCTGTCTGAGTTGGCTCTGGTCACCTCTCTTTCCCTCCCCTGGCAGAACTCATTCTACACACTGCTGCCTCAGGACTTTCGTGACTGCTGTTCCTGCTGCTGATCCGCCCTGCCTTACTCCAGTGCTACGTTTCTGGTTCCTTGTTGCTCAGGTCCCGGGGGCTCCCCTGGCCAACATGGTCACCCTCAGACAGTCACACTCCCATTGTGCTGTCTTCAACATTCTTTCCTCGGAAACTGTCTGGTTTAGGGGCTCATTTTTTGGTTCAGTGTCGGGGTGAAGGTCATCCCGAGGGCAGGGGCATGTCCCTTGTCCCCTACTCTCCTCCTCACGCCCAAGGTAACACTCAGTAAGCACCTCCCCAGCGCTTCAAGAGAGCTTACTTAGAAGGGCTGGTGTCCAGAGGTGCCTTACTGCAAGGGGCCTGGGGCCCTTATCTGTCAAGGGGGCTTCTGGGGCCCATGGAGGGGGAGGGATCCTGCAATGCTGACGCTGGGCACATCCTTCCTGGGGCCCCCAAATGAGGAAGGAACTCCACGGTTTCAGAACTGTGCTCTTGACTGCGGATACGGGGAGCTGTGAGCGTCCGGCCGTGGTTTTCTAGGATGTGGAGGTGGAGGAGCCAGCACTGGAGATGCCTGAGGCTGCTGCTTGCCTTGGAGACTCCCTGGCCCAGCGGGGTGTGGGGATCAAGGCCAGGCTGAGAGTGACTCAGGAGAATGTCCTCAGCTTCACGGGCATTTTAGTGTCGCAAAGATCCTTTCTTTTACGAACTGGTGGTGATTACAGGTGGTGGGTTTTAAAAGGGCATCCCCACTTGCCTACAGGAAAATCCTGGCAATCCAAGGTTGCTCCTGAAGAGGGTTTGGGGAAATTTTAGCCAAATGTTAGTTTGTTGGGCCGTGGGGCCGGTAGTGTAGATTTGAGATGTGGATGAGGTTGCTGAGAAGGTGTAAGTATGATCCTGCATCCTAGCACACAGACAGACAGAGGGACACAGTGGCACCTGTGCATACATACAAGCAGAGGCCACTCGTGTGATGTACGGAAGCCAGGCAAACACGCAAGCATGGATGCCCACGTGCACATCCACGCAAATGCAAACACAAGCATGCACACGGGTGGTGTACACAGACGAGTAAAACGGGCAACACAGGCTTGCGATGGCACATACAAGCAGGTGTGAAGACTTATACACACGTGCAAACACACAAAGAAAACATGCAGGCAACGGGTACAAACACACTCACGGGAGAAGAAGTCCCAGGGGCACACAAAACAACTCATGTGTCTGGCACCAAAGGAAATGAACATTCTCTCAGGTCAGTCATTCCCAAATTTGCAGTATCAACCGTGGGACTTCCTGGAGACTTTGGGGACAGCCTTGGGCAGAGGTCAAGATGACAGCACTCAGGCAAGGAGAGCTTTGTGCATTCAAATTTATTTAAATGAATGTTCAGCCACAGTCCTCTGTGGATTTGTGTACATTCAGTTTTTTTTTTAAAAAATGATTTCCATAAAAGGATTCTTGGTAATCATAATTTTGATACAATATTTATATACAAAACCTCATTTGAAACTACTTACTGTACAAGAAAGAGGAGAAGCATAGGTGGGCATGACTTTAGCAAATAATGAAAACCTGCGGTGCCCATGGACCTGGGTGCCAGCAGGCAGATACAGGAACTCGAACATCACACGATGACAAAAACGTCGGTTGGTCCTCTCCCCCTGGTCCCTGCCCCACGAGACGCTGTGGTCTCTGCTTTTCTTGGTGCTGAAGACATTTCAGATAATCGTCAGCACAACTCCAGCAAAGGCAGATCATTTATGAGACTTGTTTTGCAAGCTTTTAAAATGATAAGTGCCCAACAGTGACATCCTGTGATAAAAATATAGAGAAGTGTTACCAAAATAGAAGGCTTTATTAATAAAAATCTTTGGTAGGAACAGTATTTGAAATTGCTGTCAATGATATTTGGTTAACTAACACAAGAAACTCCTTCCACCTGAGCTACAGAAAAACAAAATCCACAAGGCCACCACATCAATAAATATGTCCATGCTTTCAACGAACCCGCAGAAGCTAGAAAGGCCTCCCAGGGGTCTTCCCGCCCATTTCCAAGCACTCCATCTTGTCCCTTGGGAGAGTGATGGACCGGAGGACTCTAGATCAGCTCAGCGCGATGGACACGAAAATGACTGATGCACGGCCTGCCAGGGACACCAAGGGTGCCGGCTGATCAGGGACACCTGCCCCGTCCGCAGCTCCCCAAGAATAAATGGAACCTCCCACACCTTCCGTGTGGCCCCTCGGGCCTGATGTCTGACTTTCTGAACTTGTGGGAGGAAGGATAACTAAAAATCACCTAGCTTTGTCCCAGTCCACACCCTGGAACAATTATCAGCACGGTTTATTCCTTCTTGGCGTTTCCATTCTCCTGCGACCCTCCGAGCTCTGACCCCATCACCTTGGAACCCCATGTCTGAGGACATCAGATCAGGATTACGGGCCTCAGCCCTCCTCCCACCACAAAGGAGACCGAAACGCTTCCACTCTGCAGAGCAACGTCCCCCGCCACCAGTATCGTCCCCGTCACCAGCCATTGTTTTGATTCACTTTGAATACTACAGATAAAAAATTCCCTGCATAATGGTTTGGTGCAAAAACAAGGGAAAAAAAAAAACCAGAAAGAGGAAAGAAAATATTGTCCTATTAGAAAGTGGTCCTCCATGTTTGCAGAAAACACAGGATCCACTGGGTCCTGCGGGGCGAGAAGCACCTGCCCCAGAGAGGGTGCCATCGGTGGTCAGCAAGCCCTCCCCGCAGCTACAGCGCCCCCCCGTGGTACTCGTAGACGGGGGCCGGGTGGCCGTCGCTGGCCTCTGGGCGGGCCTTGGTGTTGTGGTTGTTGCAGAGCTCGCTGCTCTGACACTCCTTCTCCATCCACGTGTCCAGCAGCTGCTGCTTGCCCTGCTCCTCACGCATGAATAGCTCCACCATGAGCACCTTCTCCTTGTGGATCTGCTGGCTGATGTCCTTGGGGATGTCCGGGATGACCCAGTCCACGAAGTCGCTCATGAACATCACCAGGTTCTGCAAGGAGCAGAGAGATGCGGGGTAGAGAGGATCCCCCCCAGCTGGGGAACTCCCGACTCTCTACCTGCCTGACCTGTGCACCTGTCCCACCTGTGCGCCTCCCCACCTGTGAGCCTGCCCCACCTGTGAGCCTGCCCCACCTGGCAGAACCCACCCTATTATTCTCTGACCCTGTGCACACCCTTTGACCTCTCTGGGTCTTGGTGTGCCAGAAGACACAAGTGAGACGTAACTCCCAGCAGGCAATGTGTGCTGACTTTCCTGAATGAATCTGATCTCAGCAAATAGGAAAATTCTCAGAATGGCTCTGAATTCTTGGCCAGAAGGCTTCAGAAGTGATGCCACGGGTCTCAAGCCACCAAAAGTAATGGGAGCCTGGAGGCTTTAAGGAAGTGATCGCAAAAGAAGTAGCACCCAGTATGAGGAGCGCCCCTGTCTCTGTGGACCGGGCGGGCCCTCCCCAGCCTGCGGGGTAAGCCTAAGTGCTAGCCAACTTGGCAGATATGTTGCTGGGGGTCAGAAGGCCAGATGAGTCAGGTTTCACTGGAACCAAATCTTGTTTTTCACACCTCCATTCAGAAGCATTTGTTAGCACCTGTGGCTCAGTGACAGGTCTTCTGTTGGTGATGTTGCTGGTGCCCCCTACAGTCACCCTTTTCTCAGTTGTGGCTGGGGCTGGCTGCTGAACTCACAGCTAAGGACCTCCTATCCTAACAGCTAGGAATCAATGGCCAGTCGCCTGGGCAGACAAACACCCAGTCTCACTTCTGGTGGCCTTGGGGTTGTGTGTGACTTACGCTCCTGCAGGCCCCTTGGGCTGGGCAGAGGGGTCTCCAGCGAACCCCCTCCTTGGAGCCCCTGTTCTGCCCGTCCTCCCTTCCGCTGCCTAGGAGCCTCCCTCAGCAGCCCGGATGCACAAAGACCCTCACCTAGGCTCTGGTTCTGGGCAGCCCAGCCCAACCCCTTCTGTACGGCTGGGTGAAAGGCTGACAGATGGCCGCTGGGCACAGGAGGAAGAGGGCCTGCCATGGCAGAGGGGCAGAACCGGTTCTGGGGCTTCTAGATCCTGAGCTGCTGACCCACCACCTTCCCCGCAGGGGCATCCTCGAGCCAGAGGGACACAGGACAGCTTCGGCAGCACCCCCATGCTGCAGTGGTTCTGTCTCTGGCCCCTCGTGGGGTCCTGCTCCACAGGACTTGGCTAAGGTCCCCTCCCCAGAGACTGGGGTCATCTGTGTGTGTGTATGGGCTCGGCCTGCAACACCACCATAAGAGCAGAAAGGGAGGTGGGGTCGCTCCTTCCATGTCTCTGAATAAAAACCACGTGCATGACCCCCCCACCGCCCCATGGATGCAAAGCCTCCTGCAGTGCTTGCCCCCTCTGCCCTTCCTTGTTCCGTGAGGCCAGAGTGGGCTGTGCCCTCTTTGGCCATCCCAGAGCACAGTCTCCAGGCCTCTGAATGCCTGCTGCTGGCAGCTCCTGCCTTCTTGGCAGATCCCTTCCTAAGACCTTCTGGAAATAAAGACCCTCCGCTCATACCTGGAAGACGATGACAAATGCCAGTCGGGCGGCCAGGACAGCCCAGAAGTCCTTGGAAATGTCATACTTGTTCTGCGACCAGGGTGGCTCCCGGTAGTCTTTGTACCTGCAAGAGATGCCAGGAGGCGAGGGGTAAAATGGAGCTCAGGCTCTGCAGCCAGCTGCAGGGCCAGCCCACTCGCCCACCCAGGGAGTCCCTTTCCACGCTGGACTGGATGCTCGGGCCCTGGGGGCTTGGTGGAGTTCACAGCCACTAGAGATGTCCCCACAGGCTCAGCCACAGGATCCTAGGAGCAGCCATTTGGGCCCTCAGGTCTAGGAGCTCAGAAATGAAAAGGCAGGGGAGGCTTTTTCCAAAAAAGGAAACTCACCAGAAACCCCAGCAGGTCCCAAGAGGTGACTGAAGTGGGTTGGGGTCCCCACGCCAGAATCCCTGATCTCAACCAGCCTCCAGCCTCTACAGAGCTCGTAGCTTAAAAACTCCTCTCCATCTGTCCCCTCTCTGGGGACACTATTGAAGCCAAAAGACTGAACATTTTATCCAGCAGCCCGTCTGAGGTGACTACAGGCCTCTGCCCTCTGTGCTTGGCTACTCCCTCCTGACCTCACGCACCTCCTGGAGAGGTCAGTTTCTCCCTAAAGCCCTGCTGCCCCCTGTACTCTTCCTGGAAGGAGACGAAGGAACCACTGCCCTTTCCTGCTCTCCAAACCCCGCCAGCCAGCAGAGGGCCAGGCACCTGGCGGTGCTCTGGGCCCCTTCATCCTTGCATATAGACCTGGCTAGGTGGAATCTGTGGTGGCAGGCCAAATTCCCTCTCCACTAGGCCTCCTGTGGCCCTCACTGCCACCCGTGTTTGGGGGATGCCACCCACGCGCTGGTTCTACAGGAGTGGTCACCCTACCCTGCACTGCAGAATGTTCCCAAGGCCAGTTGAAGAGGCCCAGGCCAGGGTCCCCAGGTGCTGGGCAGCAGGCATGCCCCAGGCTGTTCACAAAAGGCAGAGGTCCAGTTGTGGTGACCGAGAGGAGGCAGCTGGCTCTGAAGGCACAACCCTGGCCTGGATCCGCAGCCTGGCGCTCGACCTGCATGGACTATCAGCTTGTTGTTGTCTCTGAGCACTACGGTGGCATCTGGGCCTTGGCCTGGCCACTCGCTCACTTATGCTACAAGCATTTATTGAGCAGTAACTGTGTGCCAGATCCCATTCCTGGGTAGACATGTTGCAGGGAATGAAGCAGACAGGGCCTCGCACGCAGTGAGCCTGGTTCCGGAGGGAGCTACGTGGGTCTCTGAGGGCCCCTTTAGTACGAAGCTGCCAATGCCCGAGATAGGATCAGCTGGGAACATAGGCCACACAGCCAGCTGCTGAGCAACGTGGAATTGCATAACCTGCTCTCTGCTGGGAACAAGGAGCGCCTGTTCTCCCACACACACCTGTTCCTCCCTCTTTCCTTCTATGCCCCAGGCCAGCTACACTGGGGTGCTGGGAAAGGTGTTTAGTTCATCTGGCAAACTCCTATGCATCTTTGAAAGCCCACAGGTTGCTGTGCCCAGATGCCACCTCCCACCCCGTTATGCCCTCTATCAGAGACCATGTTTTTTTTTTCTCGCTTGCCTCTCTTTTACAAGCAGCACTACAGCTCCCCAGGGAGAACACAGTGTTGTCTCTGGGGGTGGACAGAGGATTCAATGGGACAATGCCTGCTTTCGTGTAGGAATAAACAGTAGCTGGTGCCATTATAGCTCCAAGCCTGCTAAGGTCACCTTGCCACACTGCTGGCTGGGTTCCTCAGCTCCTTTGGGAGGTGGCCAATGTGGGTGTGGTCGGTGTAGAACGGGAGCTCCCGGCAGCTGAGCCCAAGGTTGTGGCCATGGTGTGTGCGGGGCTGGAACCCAGAGCCTCTGTCTCCATGGGGTCTTGGCCCTGTGCTCTCGCTTCTCCCTTGTGTGGCTGGAGACCTGATGTGTGGGATGGAGACCTACACCCCACTCAGTGTCCGGGACCATGGACTTGGGTCTCTCCCTCCAACCAGGCTCAACACCACAGTTACAGCACACAGGGTATTTGCAGAAAAACAAGGTGGAAACTTTACTTCCTTTTTTTCTTACCCATTTTTCTTCTGAAATTCAGTTTTCATTGAGTAAGTTCTTGGTGGGGAAAGTTTGAGAAATACCAAAGTGTCTTGCAGTGGGATGGGGAGGAGCCCTGGTCCGAGGCTCAAGGAGGTT